ATGGAGTAGAGACAATGTTATCGCTTACAGATTAGAGAGAAGTGTGACTTGTCTGGTCAGTGACTTGTCCAGGGTCTCTCAGCTAGCACCAGAGCCAGAGTTCTTGTGCTCTCCTTTACTTGCTCTGTGGAACATACTTGTCTTGGCATAGATGACCTTTAATGGCGCCCTGGTAGGGGAGGGAGAAGGAAGGTACTGTCTGTTCTTCCAGGAGTGCCACAGACCTTGAGGGAGCCACAATAAATGCCATGTTTGTTTGATAAAGCCCTTGGCTTTAGTCTCAGCAGGAGGAAGAGCTAGAACAGGTGTGGCAAGACCTGGGCAGCTTCTGGAAAAACAGTGGGAGGTACGGTGGGACAGAGCCCCAGGGCCTGGCAAGGGGTTGCTATGGATTTTAAAGAAATCTGAGGACTTTTCTCATGATATGTTCCCAGGCTTCTGTCTGGCTGAATACACCAAAATATTAACAATGCCTGTTTGCAGAACACCCTGCCAAGCACTCCGGTGCAGGCAGGCATGCATTCATTCCACAAAGAAATGCTATTCTGCCTTGGGTGCTGCAGATAGAGAGACACACCAGACAGTGCCCCTGACCTTGGGAGATGGACTTCTGTTGGAGAAGTTTGACAAGAAACAAAACAACAGGCCTCCCTGGTGGTGCAAGTGGTTAAGCACAGCACTGTGAAGCTATCCGCAGCCTCTGCAACATGAGTTCAATACCCTGCCAGGGAGCTACCCAATGACACATGGTGCAGCAGACCTCTCCTTGCCGCTGTCTTGCCTGCTGCTCCCCTCAGCTGTGTATTTCAGTCAGTCTGCCTGTTCTGTTCCCCACTTTGTCTCTGGTAAATCCTCTCACCCCCCGCACCTCTGGCCTGTACCCCAGTTCTTTATAAATAAATAAATCTTTTTTAAAAAAAGAAACAAAACAACATCGGAGTGTAGTGTGTGTTTTAAGGGATAAGAATAGACTGCATGGGCGCCGGGATGGCTCAGCTGACCCGCAATATAGCCCAGGGCTAATAACGTACACATTTTGTAGATGAGGGAACTGAAGCTCTGAGGAGTGAACTGCTCTGCTTACCTGATCAGCTTGATTCCCACTAATTTTCTTCTGCAAAGGGTCATAGGATAAAAATGAGGAAGGTGGGCCTCCCTGGTGGCGCAAGGGGTTAAGATGCAGCACTATGAAGCAATCCTCAGCCTCTGCAGCACGAGTTCGATCCCCGGCTGGCCAGGGAGAAACCCACATGGAGCAGACAGACCTCTCCTGACTCTCCCTCTGCTCCCCTCAGCAGTGTATTTCAGTAGATCCGCCTGTTCTGTTCCCCTCTCTGTCTTTGGTGAATCCTCTCACTCCCCACCCCTCTGGCCTGCACCTCAGCTCTTGTATGCATAAGTAAATAAATCTTTAAAAAAAATGAGGGGCCTCCCAGGTGGTGCAAGGGGTTAAGCGCAGCACTAGAAGCTATCCGCAGCCTCTGCAGCATGAGTTCAATCCCTGGCCAGGGAGCTAACCCACATGGCGCAGCAGACCTCTCCTGTCTCACCCAATGCTCCCCTCAGCAGTGTATTTCACTCAGTCTGCCTGTTCTGTTCCCCACTCTGTCTCTGGTGACTCCTCTCATCCCCCCCCAACACTTCTGATCTGTACCCTAGTTCTTGCGTGCATAAATAAATCTTTTTAAAAAAGGAGAAAACTTAAGTACTTTAAAGTCACTGAGCTCCTATGTTTACAAGAATAACAACAAAAAATGAGGATAGAAAAGAAAGTTAGAGGGGCCCTCATGGATCATCCAGTCCAACCCTCTTATGGAAATGATGGTGAAATGGAGACCCAGAAGGGGGAGTTGCTCGGAATCCCATAGGGAAAGGAGCATCTAGAAGCCAGCTGATTCCCAACTCGGGTGCTTCTTCACAAGAAGTGTCTTTGCTTTTCCAGTTGTCTGGAGATTTCCTGGACTCTCTCATGTGGAACCGTCCTCAGCTGGGATCTCTATGCTGCCATGTTCTGCTACCTTTGCTTAGACCTTAAGCTCCAGAAAGGATAAAAAAAGGTTCGGTTATCACAGACCCTGAAGCCAGGCCAGGATGTGCGGGCATGTTGGAGGGTGGGGAGCGTAGGATGGAGTAGGGTGCCACATTGTATTCCAAGAGACCCCAGGGACACCCAGGTTTCAGGACAGACCCACCTGAAGATTGGATCACTCTCCCCTCTTTGCCACATTCACCTGGCTGGGGGTGCTGAGTGGGCCACAATGGGCTGGCTGGCTCTGGACCTGGGCTACAACTCTGTGGTCCTGTGGCTGCCTGGGATTGTGTCTAGGCTGCCATCTTGAAGCTAGTCTAAATGAATAAATTTACTCCTGCCTCTAGGGCTCTGTGGGACAGAGTTCTTGTTTGACCCAACCTGGCCTCTTTGGGTCCCCTGGCCAGAGACTATTGGGGGCAAAGGTAGATGCAACCTGTTGGTCCTCTGCCTATTCACCCCATGTCAGGCAGGCCCAAAGAATCTTTCTCCAGGCAGTTTTCTGCCCCTACCTCCTATAGCTAAGCCTTCAGATTTCCTAAACCACTTCCCCACACTAAGCCCCTCCCTCTTTTTGAGCCCCACCCCTTTCTGAGTTGACCTCACCTCTCTCCAGCTGGCCCTAGGGTCCACCTCCATCAATATTCAGTATCACTTTCACCATTACCTTCCTGCCAGGCTAGAAGAACTGTCCCTAAAGGGTGAAGCACTGAAGAGAAAGTGACCACAGTCCGAGTCCCTTCCTGGAATCTTACAGAGATGACCTGAAGCTACTTTACCTAAAGCTGCTTCCTCTTTTGGCTCATAAAAGAGGCTGTTCTTTGACTAGAGGAAAATATCTTGAGATTTTAATGGAGTATTCTATTGACAAATCTAACTGATAGCTATCCATGACCTTCATGCTCCCTCAAGTTGCTAACTTGGCCTGAACTCCCTTTATAAGCAAGCCTCTTGGATGTTCAGTCTACATGTTCTGTTTTCTTTTCTTTTTTTTTTTTTAAAGATTTATTTATTTATTTGTTTGTTTTATACAAGAACTGGGTACAGTGAGAAGCACGGGAGGGTGAGAGAATTCACCAGAGCCAGAGCGGGGAGCAGAGCAGGCAGAAGGACCGAAGTACACTGCTGAGGGGAGCAGCGGGCAGCAGGAGAGGTCTGTGCGCCATGTGGGACCCTCCTCTGGTGGCCGGGGAGCAGCTGGGGATCGAACTGGCGCTGCAAAGGCCGTGGGCAGCTTCGTAACCCAGGGCTCAACTGCTGTGCCATCGGGGAGGCCCATGTTCTGTTTTCTTATCTCCCACTCACTTTCTTGGCCACTGTGTCTGCCCCCACAGTGACAATGCCTATGGCTTAGGCCTTCAGTGACCACCTTGCTGTGGATCCCACAGGCAGGATCTCCTCAGGCCTCCTGCCTGACCACTCCCAGAACAGCGGGTGCCCTCGTCAACACCCATCTTCTTGAAACTCTCCTCTTTGGTTTCTAGACTGACCTCATGCACGTCCCTGGTTTCGGTTGCCATCTGTATGCTAACAACAGTTAGGGTTATTACCTCTGAGTTCCAGATCTGGAACTATCCCCTCCCATTTCCTGGATGCCTCCACCTGAGGCCCCACAGGTTTCCTGAACTCTATATGCCTGAGAGAGAAGCCATCATCTTCCCCCAGCAACCCAGTCTCCTATTTTGGCAAATTAGTACCACCATCCAATCGTTGATCTAGCATGGAAAATGGGGGTTACCCTTGTTCTTCATTCTTCCTTCCCTTACCCAGATGGTTCTCAAGTCCTTCTCATCTGGTTTCCTTAAGAGCCCCTGTCAGGCTTTGCCTCCAGTTCCACTCTGACAGCCTCATTTCTGGCTGGCATCATCTCACAAGGAATGGCAGCACAGCTTTGAAGAGGGTCTCTAGACTTTTGTCTCCTTTCTTGAATTTCTGTTCCACAGGGGCTGCTGGTTATTTTAGAACAGAAATCTAACCAGGCAATTCCCTTCCCATAACACCAGAGTAAAGTTCAAAGTCTGGAGATCCACTCACAGGACTCTATAACTTGATTTCTTCTGGGTCCCGAAACCAGGGACATGCATGAGGTCAGTCTAGAAACCAAAGAGGAGAGTTTCAAGAAAAATTGGGTGTTGACAAGGGCACCTGAGGTTGTGGGAGTGGTCAGGCAGGAGGCCTGAGGAGTAGCCTGTGGGATCCACAGCAAGGTGGTCACTGAAGGTCTAAGCAAGAGGCATGGTCACTGTGGAGGCAGACACAGTGACCAAGAACACCTTGCTCTTCATCCAGGCATGCAGAATCCCTCCTTCCCAGCTGGGGCCTGGCTACAGGTCTGCTGCCCTACTGCCTGAACCTCCTGCGCCTTCTCCAACACCAGGGACTTCCAAACCTTGTTTACCTAAGGCATTAGTGTGCCACCAGCTGGTTCTGAGACCTCTCCCTGAGGGTTCCTGTGAAAAAACAAAGCCCCTCTTTCGTCTCTCCTCCAGGTGAAAAGATTCTCCCCATTTTTACTTTTGGTGGTGTGTGTTACCAAAACAATAGGTCTTTTTGTTCTCTTTTTCCAGATATGAAATCATAGCATTGGTTGGGAAAGATCACTGGGCACGCCAGAGATCTGGGTTTGCGGTGGCCCTGGAATGACTGATGCTCCAAACACAAACCCTAATGGCACAACCTAGAGAAGAGGGTCCCTGACACCCTCACCCCCTCCCTTATGACTGCAGCACCACGCCCACATCTCTAGATTAGGCTTTCCTTGTTCCAATCCCCAGTGAGTGGGCCAAATGACAGCCGAGTTTGGCTCACAACCCCACTTTCTCCATTACCCGAACCTCTGAACCTCTCTCAGCTTCATCCCCGCAGTGGCAGCCAGAGAGCAGTTTTCAGCCAAGCCTACCCTTGCAGTGAGGTGGAGGCCTGTTGGGGCTCAGGACAAGGAGGCGCCAGCAACTGCAAAATGAAAGTTTTTTATTGAAAAATATCAAGTGGCCCTTTTCAAGGCTGCCAGTCCCTGCCAGAGGAACGTTGGGGCTGCAGGCCCAAGTGGGGCTGGAGCAAGCCACTTCAGCCCAGTGCTCCAGAGAGCGAGGTTTCTTTGTCCATAGGAGCTCTCTGCAGTTCCGCTCCCAGACCCGCGGAGGGGTGGCAGCTGGGGTTGGGGCGCCGGGTTGGCCTTCCCAGTCCACTCAGAGAGCTGCCTGGCACCTGGGGTGGGCTGGCCTCTGATGCAAGGCTGCGGTTGGACTGGTGGGTGCTCCAGCTAGTGGTGGTGGTGGTGGCTGCGGCGGTGGATCTCCCCTCACCTGCCCCCTCAGACGTAGTCCTTGCGGTCATAGGCTGTGCTGGGGGCAGTGTACGGTGGTCCGGAGCGCGTCGCTGTGTAGTGGATCTTGGTGGGTGCATAATTATCACGCGGCGGGCAGGAGCAGCAGAGCAGCGCGCCCCCCAGCAGCTGCAGCGCCGTCGCCGCCCAGCCCACGTAAAGGCTCGAGCCCATCTCGCGCCTCTTCGAGTCTGGCACCAGCGGATTGTAGAAGTCCCGGATGATGGTGTTCGCGGACCAGGACACCGGCACCAGGGTCAGCAAGGCGGCCAGCAGGAAGAGCACGCCCGCCACAATGGTGATCTTGGCCTTAGCCGTGTCGTCCTGCACGCAGGTGGTGCACTGGGCACCCACGAGTGCCACGAGGAGCCCGACGGCGCCCAGCAGGATGGCGACAATGAGGAGCGCGCGGGCCGCCTGCAGGTCCTGCGGCAGCGCCAGCAGCGAGTCGTACATCTTGCACTGCATCTGGCCGGTGCTCTGCACCACGCAGTCCATCCACAGGCCCTCCCAGATGATCTGCGCCGTGATGATGCTGCTGCCCACGAAGGCCGAAACGCGCCACATGGGCAGCGCGCAGCATATGATGGTGCCCAACCAGCCCAGCATCGCCAGAGAAGTGCCCGTGATCTCCAGGCCCATGGACATGGCTGCCGCGCCAAAGCCGGCTCTGCCGGGCGGCTGCAGTGCGGGTCAACAAGGGGCCGGAGCCGCTGGGGCTGCGCGCTAGCTGCGCCTCGCCGACCCACCGACGCGCGGACTTAGAGGTCCCCGACGGACGGACGCACAGCCACGCGCGCGCTAACGGCTTCACTCTGCCCGCTGGCTCCGCGGCTGCACCTGCACCTGCCTGTGGCTTTGTGGGCGGGCGGTGGCGACTGGGCTGGCCCTGGGCTGGGGCGGGTTAGTCCTAGATCCATGCCCAGAGCTCCAACGGGGGCGGGATAGGAGGAGCTGAGCTCTCCGGGGCCTGGGGACAGTGACGTGGCCCCTCTTCCCACCTTCACAGAGCGCCAGAGGAGGCAGGACTTGGCCCGGAGTGGCGCGCGGCGCAGGGGTGGGGGTGCCGGGAGAGGGCGGGGCGCGGGCTTGAGCCCCCGCCCGTCGCTCGTCTCCACTGCTCGGAAACTAATTCTCTCGGGCCAACTGGGGGATGGGGTGCAAATCAATACCTGCCAGACCCTGCCACCCCTGCAGCGTGGACGCGGCTGGCGGGCGGCGTGAGGAGGGGGCGCTACCAGCTGCCTGAAATCCGCCGGGACTGCGGGAGCCCAGTGTGGGCGTGGGCGACGCCGCGGAGGTTTTCAGGACGGCGCACCTGCTGCGCCTGGCTTCCTCCAGCCTCCGGGGCGCCGCTCGCCGAGCGCGATCCCGGCCTGATCCGGGCTGGTGGGATGCTGGCTCTGGAGGGCTAGTCCAGGCGCCAGGGATCACCCGTAGAGTCACTCAAGATACTCCTGAGTTGGGTCCTGAGCTCAGAGTCTCCTCCGGCCCCGCTCCATTCCCCCCAGCTCCTTTGTTGGGACACCCGAAACCTCCAGCTGAGTGCTCTCCTTCCCAGAAGACCCCTCCTCCCTAGCGGTTTCCTCCCCCTCGGAGAGCCCTTGTCTTCCCTCCCTCTCACCTGTTGGTGCAGGGATCCGACTTAATGAAAAGGTGGTGAAAGGCATTTGATCCAGGCAAAAGCGGGAAGGCAGAAACGTTACCTGTCAAGGCCTCGCTCCCACGCGTGGGCCCTTCCTCACTCTGCTTAGACCACTTCAGAGTTTCCACTGGAGTTCTGCCTGGTCTACCTCCTCTCATTCCCTCACTTCAGCACTTGGATCTCCAGGCTGTTCCCCCAGAACTCAGTGACCCCACTTCAGGGCACCTGTGCTTGTGGTTGCCCCTGCGGGGAACTCCTGCGGATACCCAAGCTCAGGCCCCTCCCACCTTGCAGGCTTTTGCTCTCAGAGGGGCCTTCCCTGACCACGACCACACCACTATTTGTTTTCTACTTAGCATTGAACACCATCTATCAGACTCTATATTTTTAGTTTTTCACTCTAGCTCTTTCTTCCAATATGTCAGTTCCATTGGGACATTCAGAATCTCCCAAAATGGGCCAATATTTCTGCCGGTTTTATTTACTGTGGTATCCCTGGTGCCTAGATTGGTCCTGGATACACAGAAGTTGATTTGGTGACTCAAAAGAAGGAAGGACATCACTTTCTCTGTTCTTGCAATGTCGCCTGCCCAGGTCCTCCTGGGCACATAACTGATAATAGGATACTACCGTGCTACCTGAGTCAGAGGGCTTTGTGTTCTGTAAAACCAAGGGTACTTCCAATTGACTGAGTCCAGCCTAAGGGTTTTTCTGGTGTATTCCACATCTCTCAAATCACCGGCACACAGCCTATGTCCTCTGCCGTGGTGTTCCAGCCCGGGGGCTGTAGAAGAGGAAGGTAAACAGGGCCAGAGGCCCATGGAAACCAGGGTTCTCCTTTCAGGGACAAAGGTTTTGGGCTGGGCTGGGCAGGACTGGGAGTGCCTGGCCAGAGTGCCCAGCTGGTGCTGGGTGGGGGCTGCCCAAGAGGAAGTTCATGTGCCCCAGGTCCGCTCTAGTGGACTACTGGCTGCTGTCTCTTCCGATTACTGGAGAGGGCTTGAGACCAGAAGAGTGGTGGAACTCCCATGGCGGGACTCAATGTGGCTGAGTGTAGGGTGGGGGGCTGAGGTCAGATGCTTTTGGCCAAAGAGTGGCCCCTCTCTTTAGTTGTGCTCGGTGGGATGCTATGAGTGAGCCTCGAGGCAGGAGAAAATGAGATCATGTTCCCCCTTCGTCTCACTTTCCTCTTGTGTGAAATAAGGAAAATGTTTACAGGATCAGCTTGGCATGAGAGTGGGCATGTTAGTGTATTTTATTTTAACCAGAAAGCAACCAGGACAGGATGTGCAAATGTGCAGAGAACCGTGGGCAGAAAGTGTGGGATTTAGTGGACAGACCTGGAAGTGAGCCCAGCTCTCTTAAGCAGATTCTTTTTCCACACTAAGCCTCAGTTTCCTCAGCTAGGAGGGGTTTGTTCTGAGTTGCTTGGGTGAAGGGGGGCAGGTCAGGAGAGGCGCCTTGTTCCTGAGTCTGAGGGAAGTGGACCTGCTGGCAGGGCTCTAAGGGGATGAGGCCAACAGGACAGAAAGCTTTGTGCCCAGGGGCCAAACTTCAGGGACACAGCAAATAAGACTTTGGCTCTGGGCAAACAGCTCCAACCAGCTTTTTGCTTTATATCTGCTGTGGTGCTTATAACTCAATAATAAAAATTCAAATGACCCAATTAAAAATGGTCAAAGAATCTGAACAGACATTCAGAATACTCAAAGGAGATATACAAATGGCCAAGAAGCACATGCCAACACCATTAGTCATGAAGGAAATGCAAATAAAACCACAGAGATACCACTTCACAGTCAGGAGCATGACTAAAGTCAAAAAGAGAAAAAATGACAAGTGTTTCTGAGTACAAGGAGAAATCGGAACCCTCATATCATGCTGGTATGTTGCAAATGTTGCAACTGCTTTTGAAAACAGTCTGGTGGAGTTATCCTCTGACCCAACAATTCTCCTACTAGTTATTTATTTATTCAAGAGAAAGGAAAACATGTTCACACAAAAAATGTCTAGGAACATTCATAATAAAAAGCAGAATCATTCATAATAAAAAGTGGAAACATTCTAAGTTTGTCTGTTGACTGATAAATGGATCACCAAATGTGGTACATCTATACTATGGAATATTATTCAGGCATGAAAAGAAAGTACTGGTACATGCTATTTGTACATGTAACCTTGATAACATCACGGTAAATCAGAGATGTCAGTCACAAAGGATGACATAATTCTATTTAAATAATATATTATCTGAAGCAGGAAAATCTACAGTGGCTGCGAGGGGTTGGGGTGAGGTGTTGGGAGGAAATGGAGATGACTGCAAATGGGTACAGTGTTTCTTTTTGGGGTGACAAAAATGTTCTACAATTGTGCTGATGGTTGCATTCCTGAATATACTAAAAAACCGTTGAAGAGGACAACTTAAATTTGTGGGCTGTATGCTTTGTAACATATATCTCAACAAAGTTGTTAAAATAAACACTACTACAGGGTCTGCAGTGTATGTCTGTGTGGTATGTGGGCCCCAGAGAGTGGACAGTGCTCAAGGGGGTGGGAAGAGGGGGTGGGATGGCTCTAGGCACGGCGTACCCCCTACTTACATACAACTCTTAAGCCTTTAGTGCAGAAGCAACAGTATGGTCCAAAGTGGGACCAGTGCTCCTGGAATGGACCTCAGCAATAAGTGCTGAGGGGCTACAGGAAAGGGAATTCTTCAGCTGCATTGGTCCAGAAGAACTTCCCAAAGAAAGCTGGAGAAGGGTTTGGCTGTGTGTGTGTGTGTGTGTGTGTGTGTGTGTGTGTTGTACAATATCTAGGTAGTTGTATGTCCCTCTACTTTCTCCCACTTACATAATTATTTTAAATATTTCCCCTCTATATATGAAGAACCACATCAGACAATGTTATAAAATTTTTGCTTCACCTATCAGACAAAATTCAGAAAATGCGAGAGAAGAAAACCTTGTATATATCCCATAACATATATATAGTATTATATATGTCTATATAACATAAAGTATACATTGTATTATATATAAATGTGTGTGTTGGTCTGAAGTTTTGATTAAGTTTGACTATTATTTTATTTAAGTATAAAAGCAATGCCAGGCTTCCCTGGTGGCACAAGGGATTAAGGCACAGCCTATGAAGCTGTCCACAGTCTCTGCAGCAGACCTCTCCTGACTCGCCCGCTGCTCCCCTCAGCAGTGTACTTTGGTTGATCTGCCTGTTCTGTTCCCCACTCTGTCTCTGGTGAATCTTCTCACCCCCCACACTCTGTCCTGTACCCCAGCTCCTGTATGCATAAAATAAGAATAAATCTTAATAAAAATAAAAATAAAAAAAGCAATGCCTATTTATGTAGGGAAATCAAAACTGAAAGGAACATTCAAAATTTTATAATTCCATTCCACTTAAAAATAACATTATTGACATCCAGTTGTAAAGTCTTAAGAAACTTTTTCTAGCCATTTCTGTTCAAAAGTGAGATCTACCAGAATGCAAAGCTGATGACCATAGAGGCCTTGTGAACACCATCTCTTTATTTTTGGTACTAGAATGTGCCTAGCAGCGAGCAAGTCCTCAGTAAATAGTTATTTGAATGAATAAATGGATGGGTCCAACTGTACTACTGGTTGATATCATACTGTAATCACTTTTTTCCAACAGTTAAAATTTTTATTGTGGTAAAATACATATAAAATTTACCATCTTAATCATTTTGAAATGTACAGTTAAATGGTATTAAGTACACTCACTTTGTTGTGCAACCATCACCACATTCATCTCTAGAACTCTTTTGATCTTGTAAACCAAAACTATGTATCCATTAAACAATAACTCCTCATTCCCCACTTCCTCCAGCCCTTGGCAACTAGATTATACTTTCTGTCTCTATGATACCAACTATGCTAGGAACCTCATATAAGTGAAATCATACATTATTTGTCCTTCTTTCTTCTTGAGCTGGGAGGTCCATTTTTTTCTGGCTAGTGCTAGGGGCACTGTAGGGAAGGAGAGAGCTATGAAACCTCCACTCCCAGCCCCTGAAGGGTTTTGGGTCCTCTTATCACTAACTGCCCCCCCACCCCAAGGGAATGGAAGGTAATGGATTCTGTTGACTTCTGAGTTTATTTAAACCTTGGGAACTTTATCATATCATCAGCCAAAGAGCACAAAGTTAAACAAAGCAGCTTTCAG